CCATCTGATCTTCATAATTTAACTTATGAAATCTAATAATGCCTGCTTAGGGGGGGAAAAATCTATTTTCCATAGAACACAGCTTCTAAATACAAGCTAGCTACTTCATCTGGTGCTTAACCAAAGAAAAGCTCCCTGCTCCAATGCTGGAGGAAAAACTGGCTGTGCTGGGTTGATTGAGAGAAGAGCATAGTATCCACAGAGCCACGTGGCTTACTTTATGGGTCGTGAAAGGGATTTTTAGTGATCATTTGAATCCATGCCATGTTTGCCGTATGTGCTGACTTTGAACCTAATTCAATGGCAAAATGCAGATGTATCTCCACTGAATATGTTTGTGCAGTTCCTTTTAATATAACAGATATGCTCCTAACAGCCGCAGAAAGCACCCACTGGCTTTTAAGCTGCGTATTCCTGAAATTTAAACAAGGATTGGTTATTCACAATAATGATTATAATGATAAACATGGGCCTCGTGGTTTGGTGGTGTGTTGAGCAGTATGATCAATGCCCCCTCTGTAGGTTGGAAGCGGCAGTAAATAGGGAGGCATTATGCAACGCCGCAGTGAAAGGGGAAAGGAATGTATGTCTGAATGGCATTGTTCTACTTCCAGACAGAAAATGCCATTTGTTTGGCTTCAAGGCTAACAGAAAAGTATACAGATGGACGTTTTGAGAAGCCAGTTACCCAAATGCCCTGAAATATTACTGTTACTGTGACTAAACTATCTGGAGCCCCACTGATAGACAAGCCATGGGGAAACAGGTGCCTTTGTGCCTAGGACCTTTTCTGCTGAGGAGGGAGCCCCACAGCCGGTGCCCCCCAAGCCCCAGGAGTGATGCGTGGGGATGTCCAGAGATTCACAGCCGGTGGCTGACTCGGACCATCCTCCAATCCAGGGACTCAGGGATGGAAGGAACGGCTGCACGGCAGAGCCCATGATGCATAAACGTTGTTTCAGCGTGCGACTGGATGGTCGGCCTTGCTTATATAACATCTGGCCCGCAGTTACAACGCTAAATAATTAAATAAACAGCTTCAGTAAGCAATGATTTAAGCGCCATATGTGAAAATTGCCTCCAGGAGGGAAATAATTCCAACCTCCAGCTCCCAGATTCCTGCGTTCAAAAGGAACTTATTTAGCCTGTTGATCATTTGCCATTTATTTGCGCTGGGAGATTTGGTTTACTTGAGAGATTTTGTTTTGATAAAGCTGGAACTGCCCAAATGACTGTTACTCTGCAAAAAGAGTCCATGTCTCTCCCTCGCTCCCTCTCCCCTTCCTCCTCCTCCTTCCTGCCCTCTCTCCATCTCCCTCTCCTTCTCCATCCCCACCTCTCTCTGCCTTCTCTCTCCACTCTCTGCCCACCCCTCTGTTCCTCCCCTTCACCCTCTCTATCCTCTTTTTCTTCCCCTCCACCTTTCTCCCTATCCCTCTTCCTCTGTCTCCCTTCCCTTCTCTCCTCCCACCTCCCTCTCTTCCTCTTTTTCTTCCTCTCCTCCCCTCTCTCACCCTTCTTTTTTCCTCCTCCTCCCTTTCCTTTCTCTTCTCTCTTGCCTTCATCCGTCCAACAGTCTTTGTCTTTCTGTCTCCCCCAGTTGGGAGCTGGATGACACCTATCCCTGACTCTGAAGGTCGTGTACAAGACAGCTACCATGAAAACCAGATGGGCAAAAAGCCATTCTGATGCTAGTCAACAGGAGACTTCCAAGATGAGTTCTAGAAAGGATAGTAGAGGTGTTAAAAATATCATTCTAAATACACAGACCCCTAAAGTTTTCCATCAGGGTTTTCCTTTTACATTACATTTCTGCACACAGTGGAAAGCACCAAGCTGTCCTAGCAGACACTACCTTCTGCTGCCTGTTATACTGGGTGGTGTACTTACTGGAAAGCAAATCACTCGTGCCTTCTAAGCAGTGAGGTCTGCTAAGGCCACCCCGAGGAATCAAGAATTCTGCTTACCTAAAGAATGTCTTAACAGTCCATTAGAAATTCTAATGTTAAATGTTCAGGTAATGTTTTCACAGCAAATAATGCTTGCTTTATGGGATAGTTAAGTTCTCGAATTAGGCCATATGTGACCGAGAAGGCTGCTGACTGAGTATCTTGGTAGTGGGTCCAAACAGGGAACCTCCAGACCTGAAAGGAGGAAAGTGGCAGGGGTGCCTTGGACGGCATCGTGTGGGGGTGGGGAAGGGGTCTGGTAGCAAGGGAGCTGGGGAGAGGTCAGGCTGTGTAGCCACCAGGCCTTTCCAGCCCCCAGATTCTAGGTTGTGGTGACTAGAGACTGAAGATGCATCCTGATGGGGTCCAATTTTTCTTCCCTGTTTAGGAAATTAATTAAGGAGGCACCTTATGCATAGGCTATCAACACAGAGAGGGATAAAGTGAAGATTAGTTTCACAAATCACTAGAAATAGTGATTTTTTTTTTACATCCCGGAAAGGAACAATGGGTTCAGCAAGGGACCGCCTAAGCTGTCTCCAGCTCCATTTGCATTTCCCTCTGGAGTCACTTTTTAAGATTCCAGCCATGTCCAGGGAAGTTTGGCAGCCCCAGGTGAAATTGACAAAGAACGAGCGTCTGCCCCACTGAGTCAGCAGTAGCTCTGTGGGATTTGGGCTAAAACTACCAATTACTGAGCTTTAGATACCCAAATGGTTCTGGCCCTTGGTAAATTCCATTTTGTGTTCTGTAAAGCCCTGAAAAGCAAGATAACTTAATTGTGCTTTGTGTTCTCTGATTGCTGTAGTCTCTTTAATCCACTCTCCTATATGTCTCACAGAGTGTTCATGAGTTCAGAGGAAACTCACTTCATACACAGGAAGGTGTCCTTGACTCCTCAGGGGCCAAGTCTGATGATACTGCCCAGGTCTGCGGAGGCACAGTCCAAGCAGTTGTGGCCCCTGCCAGTCATACCCCAGCTTGGCCATATGAATGGATCCCAAATGGGCACACTGTGCTCAGCCTGTGTCTGTCCTGAGGCCATGCATTCATTCATTAGCACTTCATTACCTCCCCATCTCCAATCTCCCCACCCAAATAAGGTGATAACTCTAAAGTATTGACAAATAATATGGACTTTACGGAAGGTATTGATGTAATCAAGAAGACAGCTGTATCTTAGACCTCGCAGAAAAACCTAATCCAAATCCTTCATCGGATATTTCAGTTCTTTCAAGATCTCCTTCTGGCCCTTGTCTCTTCTGCTTATTTCTCTTCCCCAAATCTCTCATCTCTTAACTGCTCCAGACGTGTTGGCTCCGGCCACCTTCTTCTTCCGAGACAAATAAACCTCTCTTTCCTTCTGTGGAACAATTCTGAGAGCTTGAGTTTGGGCCCAAATCTGCCATTGGCTCAGTCAGTGTCCTTTGAGAGCCTCAGCCTGGATGCCACTCGTTCCCCTCACCTGCAGCATGAAGGCAGGCAGAAAGATGGCATCCAGGTCCCACGACGTTTGGAAATTCTGTCCTATCTCTGCCGTTTCAATCTCCTGCTCATTAAGGAGCCTTTCCAATGCCCTTCTTTTCGTCAGAGGACTACTGTGGATGTGCTGGTGAGAGATGAGGTCTGCCAAGTGGATGTGGTTATGTGACTAGGAAAGAGCACTCCTAGGTCACTCAGCACTGATTCTTTTCAATGTGTTGTCACCATTGCAGTAGAAAAATGGTAACGGTGATGATGACTGTGATGAGATGACCTCAAGAGTGGTCCCCTACATTTCACAGCACTTTTGCACCCACAGATTTCTTTTATAAACACAGTATCATTTGATCCTTTCAACCTATCTATGAGGTAGATAGAGTAGGCGGTGATAGTCCAATTTTATAGATGCAGAAACCGAGGATCAGAAGGATCAAATGGCTTACTCAAAGTCACATTTCCAGAAA